GCGTCAGCAGCAAAAGTTTTATGAATCAGTGGGTTAGAGATTAGCTGCAGTGCGTGTTTATGTTTACGAACATGTGCTCCTGTGGGGTAGCTTTAATCTTTTTTTCTTTTCTTTTAAAACACATTGTATTATTCTGTGCAACCTCAAGAAGCAGTTGCTGGTGGATGTGAAACAGAGGTGGATATTGCATTTTTGGTGCTTTAGGTGTACCTTTGCATCCTGGTACCTTGCATCTTTCTTTTCATCCATGACCATCCAGTGGGCTGTGGCGTCCAAACGCACATTGGGGACCGGAATGACATTAAAAGTCAATAGATTGAAGGCTGCACACATTGTGTGATCTGTTGTTGTTTTTGACCAACATAAGCAATTATTCACAAGATTAAATAAACAAATCTGTTCATCTGTGATGTGCTTATTCATTTATTTATCTGTTGGTCTGATATTCTTTGTTGTAGCTACAATATCTGTAACAGGTTTTATAAATTATTATCCAGATGTTAGTAGCCTATAACTTATTGAGGACCAGATGTTAAATAAAAAAAGGAAATACTGAAATCAATAAATGTTCAATAAACACAATTAAATAGAAGATACAGCAAAGACAATATCATAAATAAATGTGTAAACCTTTTTTAATAAGCGTTTCTAGTTATTAATCTTTGTAGTAATTAATTTATTCATCTTGATATTTATTATCATCTTTTTTCTTTCATTTAGTTTATATATATATATATATTTTTTTTTTTTTTGATAAATGTAAATATTAAAAATAATAATAATAATCTAGAAAGGTGAATTAAAAAATAAGTTAAAAAACCGAGGGTGACCCAGAAAGATAAGCACAGGGCAACAACATTATTTATGTTTCATTGAGTAAAAACTGCTTAAATGTATTATTTGCTGTATTTTTAGAGCAAATAATTGTTTGCCTTTTTTATTTATTGGGTATCTATTTATTTTGGTATCTACAGTTGTGTTGAAAACGTGCACATCCTTCCATATGTATGATCGGGTTGAATTACCTCTGTAAAGTGCCTTGAGATGACGTGTTGTAAATTAGCGCTATAGAAATAAACTGAATTGAATTGAATTGTAGGTCTCTCTAACATTTATTAGAAGTTTATTCCTCTCGCTTGTACCATTTTGAAATTACCAACATATCACTCTCTGGAATCAAAATTACATACCTACAAGGCATAGCTGTAAAATCCAGGCAAGCTATTAAATCTTAAAACAGCTTGCCTTAGTAGTTTATATCAGTAATGACACTTCTACCAGTAGAAATATAATTTTGATACCTACAATGTTTTATTCATGTTTGGTTTACAATCATTATCACTAGTATTAACTGAAGAATGGAGATTTTAAATATTTTTTGTTTTCAAGATAGGGGGAAGAGTTAGAAAATTAGGTGGGAAATTAAGCTATAAAAATGTATCGTTTTTTCATATTTTTTATATTATTTTTTATACCGTTTTTATATTTTTTTACAAAAATAAATTGTAAAAATTGCATGGATGTTAGCAACAACAATTTGCTAGCATTTGCATTTTAATTGAAATACAGAAAATGTTATCTCTGAAAAACAATTTTTTTTTTTTTATAAAAATGCCATTTGTAAATATTAACTTGAAAATAAAAACAAATAAGTTAGCCATATTGAATAAATATCTAATTAGTAAATCTTAAATATACCCTCAGAGGCTTTTTAGGTTTAATTTCTGAATTGGGTTTCTTTTTTTCCTCACATTTGCATTTATAAAATACGGAAGAGGATTAGGGCCACTGGAAAAAAAAAAAAAAGTTTAATGATTTTTTAATTTTATTTCAGTTTAACAGAATTCTGACTTTAATCTCAGAATCCTGACTTTTTTATTGTCAGAATTCTGAGAAAAAAAGTCAGAATTCTGAGATTAAAGTCGAATTCTGAGAAAAAAAGTCACAATTCTGAGATCAAAGTCAGAATTCTGAGAAAAAAGTCAGAATTCTTAGAAAAAAGTCAGAATTTTGACTTTAATCTCAAAATTCTGAGAAGAAAGTCAGAATTCTGACTTTTTTATTGTCAGAATTCTGTCAGAATTCTGAGA